GGCACAGTTGTGTATTTATCATTAACAGCGCTTCATGCGTTTTTCCTCTCTTCCGCTTGCATGGATTCGTTTTCCGTTGTTTCGTCTTTTCCTACTCTGTCGTAACTGAATTCAACTGGGTATTCACTTTCATCGGCCTTTTGGTGTTGAATATATTGTGATGCAGGCAGTTTTTGAGAAGAGAACTGTGGCCGTCGGACGACTACATGGGAACGTACACATGTGGGGAATTTGGACCGGTATTCAAACTTTTTGGTTGTGCTCAGTTCAGTTCAGGTTTTATAATCATGCACTTTCGTGCGCGTCGATTTTGGTTGCTGTCCTTTGGTACCCCATTTGAATAAAAGAGCGGAATGAAGATTGGAATGTTGAAAGCAAATTCAAGCAGAAGATGGAGATTTCATGTTGACTGGTGTTAGGAAAATAATGAGTAGATGCACGAGCGCCACCGTTTGCGACACCCAGCCATATCGCTTAGTGTCTCTAACCATCGGTGATCATCATCTCGCGGTCCCCATCCAGCAAGCTTTACGGGACCTATATGTAATCTATTGTGTTCTGTATCTGCGTCCTCGAGAGTGGGGCTTTATGAATCAGCGAATCTTTCATCTCTGTGCACTCAGGTATCACACGGCCAAGATGTCCGTGGTTGACCGAGTGGAAAAAATGCAAGCAGTGGTAGCCACTCTGGAAACGGAATTGGATGTGCTCTGTCTCACTGGTGTGGAGGATAAACTCCAAGAAGGGGTGAGTTTCCCAGTCACATTTTTGGTGTTGAACGTAAATTTGTCATTCCCTATTCTTGATAACCTGCTCCTACTCAAGCAACTGACGTTTCCCTTTTGTTTGTGCTACATTCGTCAGCGGGATACTTACTGACCTGTTTTTTCTTGTGCTTCGTTTCAACTCGGCAATAGATAGCCAATGGATATCCAGGTGCATTCATCACCGAGTATAGTAAAGTAACACCAAAAGTAGACAACCCAGTAACTGTCCCCAAAATGAAACTTTTCTGAAGTTAGCATATAAAAGGCGATGACGTGAACGAACTAGTTAGTAAGCGGTTGAACTGTTCTGTCAAGCAGGTCTGTTGCGCAGTTGACTCAGTCATTGTCTTCATTACCACCCGACATCGGTGAAATAACCATTGCTCCCTCCGCCAAATCAATTTGTATTTACCAATTCAAGTGTAGATGCTCGGCCATCTACATAGGCAGGACAGAGAGGCAGTTACGTCACCGAATGGCCGAGCACATCTCGTTGTAGCTTAAGTAGGCAATGGACGACAAGTTTGTAACTGGTACGTCACCGAATGATCCGAAAAGGTTCAGATCTTCAATAACGCAACACTTATTCGAACAAAAACACTGTGTCACTTCAACCCACGCATTTCAGATCATGTACAACACAGCAAACACAAAGTTATTGATATTCGCTGAGGCTCTAACGATTCATACTCTCAAATCCGATCTATGCAAACAACGTAAATGGTTAATCACATTTGCGTTGCCCTGGTGATTGACCATCTACCTTCTCTCGTCCCCCTTTTTGTGTTGCTGTACCGTGTTGTCCGTTGTGATCAACGATCTTGTCTTCGTCTCACGTTTATTATCTCACTGACCATAAAAATCACTTTGACTGCAGTATGTGCATGTGTACAGATGCAGCGAAATGACCATAGACGACACATTGTGCAAACCCGTTTCTGACTTCTCTGTTCAAATTTGTGACGGGATAACAGTGTTTTCAGATTGCTTTTACTTCTGTTAATGGTTCCATTGGTTTGACTGATCCAACTCCGATTTGTTTTCGGTACACCACAACGATGTGTTTAACGTGCGTAAAACACTCAGCGACTGCCAGCTCGTATCGGGATAAACCTAGTCTCATGAATGACAATTTGGAGAAGTTCCTTGGGTAAATCTCCTAGCCCCTAAGGTTTAGCGTCTGGTTGTGGAAGCAGTTCTATTCCCTATCTGTCTGACTGCATCCCATGGATTGAGAATATTTTGTTTTGGTTATCAGGACGGCTGAGTTATAGTCCCTATTGTATCCTATCGACGAGACTTCGTTCACCATTGATGTACTTGCAGTTATCGTTGTAATTATTTTGCACACTTGTTTAGTTAGCTACAGGCTGTTTGCCAAAGCAAATCATGGTATAGGCATATTTATGACGATTAAATCAATCTGTGGTTTGTGCGTAGATGCGGTTCTGTAAAGTTTCCCAGAACGTTGCAATTAGTTTTATTTGGGATTCATAGCCGAAAATTCCGGTTCTCCAAACGCTGATTGACCAGATAGGATTGGTGTGTAAAAAGTGCGATTTATCGGAGGTCTGGATTCAGGCTGGTTAGATTGTTCTCCCTGAGATGTGTTTCAGCGTCTGAACTGTTCAATACACCCAATTGAGCGGATGACCGCTGAATTTAAGGTGTTTTGAAGTCCGTTCATACATCACTTCTTGAGGCCCTACTAGGTTAGGTGTGGTATTAAGACGGACGACAGTGAAGCTGTCTATCACCAAAATTAACTGTCGGTGGTGAGGTTTGAACCTCGAACCTTGAGGATCAAAGCAAGTCGATGCCAGTGGCTTAAACCACTTAACCATCATCACCACCGCCCAGTGCAACCATTTAAGGTGGATTAGCGCAATCAGATGATTAAGCGCTTCCGCTGGCCTTGTTTTTTCAGTATCAATCACTAAACTTCTACGCCGCGCTGTTTGGATTTCTGTTGCACTGGAATTTGATAAATGAACAGCAATTTTTTTCAATGGGATGTACTATACCACCGGTACATTGCTCCCAAAGGTCTAGACCACAAAATTTAGATCCTGTTGTATAAGCATCATGGTAAAGCGTTCACAAACAATTTTGACACACTTTGTCATCACATGCGAAATCCATGCGGGATACTTATCTGTAGAGTCTTCTTGAAACATATGACAAGAAGTTTTAAGACCATGCTCTACATATAGACGACTTTTGGCCTGTCGTTACCCACACTGGACGGTGGTGGCGCAGTGGTTTAGTCACCGTTACAGGAGTGCTTTGGACCCTATGGTCTGAGGTTCAAGCCCGGCCACCACCGCCCAACTTTGGTGGTAGGCATGCTGTCGTCCTGTTCAATACGACGACTAACCTAGCGGGGCCTTATGTGGTTCACCACTCTAAGTCCCCGGGCTTAGGTTACCGGTTTCGACCACCAAACAGCAGATCCTCGTGATTATGGGGGTCGCCCCGTCTGCTGTTCATCACACGGAATGGCGTAATAAAAAACACTGCGGTGGCGACGCTCATGAGGGTTTATTTACCTGTCTTCTCTCATTCCCATAGGTTCGACCTACTCTCGAGGCGTTGCGTAACGCAGGAATCCGCGTTTGGATGTTGACCGGGGACAAACTGGAAACGGCCGAGTGTATAGCGAAGTCCTCACGTCTTGTGGCCCGTGATATGCCCGTGTACACTTTTCAAAATGTCACCGGTCGTATGGATGCACATTTGGAACTGAATGCGTTCCGGAAGCGATGTGAACACGCACTGCTCATCACCGGCTCGGCCATGGAGGTGCGTGGATATCTGGTTTCGTTTTTTTGTTTTGTTTCGGTGTGCTTTTCTTTGTTCTCAGTTGTGTGTGTGGTGCGAAGACTGCTACAGAACTTGCATGCTCCGGTGTCCTGGCGACGATCCTATAGAAGGTCTATCACAAACTAATGACCCGTATTTTCTGGCGTAGCTCAACTTTTGGACTCTGTTCCGGCTGTTCGAGGTCATGTAAAACGATGGTGCTGTCATACACTAATCGACACAATCACACTGAAACGTTATCTTAGGATGCTGCTAAACACTGCTGTTCTCATTCAGTGCCAACCAATAAGTCAGGGTAAGTCTTTTGGTCGTGTGTGTGTGTGTGTTTGACCATGAGTTATCAACCCACCGGTTATCGAAGCAAAACTAGGTTTTTACCGTGCTAAACTGCGGATGGCCAACAGCAATCTACGTATTACCGAGACATTGTTCCCCCTTTCATTAAATCACATGTGCGATGCTTTCGTGAAACATTAATGGAATGTCGATTCCCCTAACGTGCGTGATGTTTCAATAGGACTTGTCCGAAAGAATACATCAAGCGACTGTCAACTTCGTTCCTAATCATGCGTGCTTAGTTGTTTGCATTTTTTGGTTTGCTTTTCACAGTTTGTGAGTTGAAAAATAGTCGCCATAGTAGCAGCTTTCAGATTCAAACAAGCAAACAATCGCCACTTCTCGCTGGATTATGCCATCAGATATTCTGCCGAAAGTCCTACCAAGACAGGTTTGTTCTGTTCGTTGCAGGAACACAGGATGCAGTCGTGCATCCCATTTGTGACAGGTATATAGGATTTCTCTCTCTATTGACATCTTAATTGATGAAAATAACCGAAGGTCTGGCACAAGACTGTACAGGGAATTTCAAAACAACACTGAGCCAACTAGAGCCAAGAACGAGTTCGAGGATCCGGTCACGGAGGTATGAGATCCCTTTAGCTCGGCTTCGGTAGTTACTGCGTAAAATGTTATTTTGCCGGCCTCCAGCTTGATTTTTTCGATCAAGCTTATCAATACTCTGCTTGTAAGATCTGTGATTGTTCTTTGGTCAGCATTCGCCTATTTTCGTTTCTCGTTGGTTATCAATTCATTCATCGACTGGGATGTTATACACTCCTGGAACATTGATGTTTGAGATGGTGGGTCCGTTTTATCCATTGAGTTCGAAAGAAGTGGTATTCTATATAAATATATATATATATGTATATATATATATATATATAACAATAACGAGGGGGGGTTGGGGTACAGAGTATAGGGATAAGATGTAGCTGTCAGAATAGAAGATTACGAATAAGTGCAATAAAAATTTTTTGGGGTGTTTTCCCGTACACCTTTTGAAATTTTTTTGTCGTTTGTGGTTTTTACGAGGCACAAAACTTCGACAGACAGACCGTACAGCATTCGCGCCACCGACTTCTATTCCGGCTCATATCACTCAGCGTATCTAACCAACGACAATCCTCATCCCTTGGGCCCCAACCTCGAAGGCGGGCTGCACCAATCGAAGCCGAAACTGAAGCCAGCTTCTTCATACCTCTAGCCCATGTCATGGTCTGACCGCCGCGCCGCTTCTTCCAGCCTTGCCCGGCACGTACGAAGAGAGCACGGAAAGGTAGTCGATGGGCAGGCATATGCAATACGTGACCAAGCCATCGGAGGCGGTGTAGAGCGATTGCTTCTGTTAGACGGTAACTATCCGCACCCAGCACACGACGACGGACCTCGTCAATGCTCACCCGATGTTCCCATCAGACATGAGCAATGCATCACAGACATCGGTGGTCAACTACAGAAAGTCGATTAGCATCCTCCGCTCGGAGAGGCCAGGTCTCTCAACCGTAAAGCAGAACACTACGAACTGCAGCGATGTACACTCTTCCCTTAAGGGACAGTCGGATGTCCTGGCAGCGCCCCAGGTGTCGTAGGTTAGCGAAAGCTACTCTAGCTTTCGCTATTCGTGATATGATCTCGTCCCCAACACCACCGCCAGCTGCGATCAAGCTCCCGAGGTACTTACAGATCTCAAATACTTCTAGCTGATCACCACAGAGGGTGATTGCAGGCACAGGCTCCTGCCAGTCTTGAACCAGCACTTTGCACTTGGAAGGTGCAAAGCACATACCATA